TAAACAGCAAAGGGGCAGCAGACACAGAAGTCAGAGAGGGCTCAGGGGGTACACACAGGAGCTGCAGTTCAGCCCCCACTGTATCAGGAGCTTTCACAGACAGTTTCTTCAAGCTCAACAGGGACACATCTATTGATCTGCTGAGATGCCAGTGCAGCACAGGTGGTGTTCTTCAGATTGTTGCTGCGACTCCTTCTGCATGAAGATCAATACCATCGAGCAGAGGAGTCTTCTGAGCCCAATTTTTGACAGATCAAAGTTCTGCCACACATGTAAACTTTTAGCATAAGGGCTTTCCCCAACTTATTCCCTCGTTCCTTTTCTTTTGCCTGTTCTGAACATGTGCTTGCTCTTTGATCATTAGTTCTAGTAACTCACAAGATGCAAGTCCATCATTGGTCATAGAGGCAGCAGTTGTACACATTCCTCTGCTTGCCTGCTTTAAAATTGTAATTCATAGTCTAAGAGTGGCATAGTATGCAGTGCTCTTTTCAATCCACTACAAAGATGTTTCTGCCTATCTAAAAAGCAAGATGAGCACATTGCAACTCAGTTGGCTATATTCATACATTCTACATCTTCTTGATGCAAGCTTCAAATAAATGTGGAATACTCACACAGCTGCCAAGGTTAGTATCTTTTGGCTGAATTTAAAGGCATGATGACCGTTTTTTTGTAACAACCTGAATGAGTACTTTGAGCACTATTCCGGAAATCCTGCAGGAGTTACGGGGAGTAGAACTCCACTGCCCATTCATCTACGACAACAAAATCATTTGGGCACCTGCTCAAATATCAGCAAAGAACTGCAGTATCACAACAACACTTTTTACACATTCTCTTAAAGCATTCTGTAGTCTGCAGGAACACTGAAAGCAGTAGGAGTAACTCAGAGAAAGCATGAAGTTTAAACCTGAATTTTCTTCAGCACATCAATGAAATAATGAGTGTATTTTCCCTAACAGCTCAACTCAGAAAACCCTTATATACAAGCATCACACCCAAAATGAACTGAGCTGGAAATTCAGACCCAGAGGTGAAAGAAGCATGCATGCTTTCAAATTTAAGCCAGACCTGCTCAACACTGCAGGTACATTCTTAGAGTAAACTAAGAAACCATTCACAAAGTATTCCTTTGAGTAAAACGGCATACACATTTTGATTTGAATATATAAACCATGTTCATAGCACCTAGATTAAAACCACAAGAGACACTGTTCATGTCACACAATAAATACTATTCAATTTTACCAAGTTTATTACATAAAAATGCCATTACTACTGAAAAGATTATTTTGCATATGTTAATGTTACACATCTCATTTTTCAGCTTAGTGCCATAAACCTCTCTTTGCTATGGTCTGAGAAGTCTCTTTATCTGTGCATATGTGACACCCTACCCAAAAAAGAATGTCACAGATGTCACAGGCACACAATGAAAAAACATCTATTTCTATTCTTAAAAAAAAAAACAAACACTGATTTTTTTTTTACACTAACCCTTTAGAGAAAACCTAAAAGAAAATAACTGGCAATCACACTGCAGCCTCATTAAGAAAAAAATGGCACATCAGACTGAAAAATCAAGCAAGAAAAGTTTTAAAATAAGCAAAGGGGAGCAACTTCTGTCACATATTCCACACTACACATCATCTACACAGGGTTTTATTTTCAGCTCTCTTTGTCTTTTACTGTGCACTTGCAGAAAGAGATATGTAAGATTGCTATCTATTATGGAGACTTTACTATTTCAATGAGTATCTGAAGACTTCTCCGATGTCAAAGATTTACCAAAATCTCCTCATAAACTCAGGTTTTATGCCTAACTTCCCTTCCTGCCCAACACAAAAGAGGAAACAGCCAATGTTTTCTTGCTGTAAAATGAACGACTGAAAGCCAAGAGGAAAAGAGAGGAAGGCATCCCACCTACATCACCAGAGCAATCTGCCAGCATGCACATTACCACCAACAGATGCTCCAGATGTGCCTCTGGGTCAGAAAAAGACTAGGAGTACCTGTCCTAGAACTGTTTCCCAGAGTGAGATACCTGAGCATAAACCATTGCTGTTGATTAACAGATCTGTCAGCATGTGCATTAGTCATCTATTCACTGCCTGCATCTTCCCCATCTACCCTCCACAACAGTAAAAGTTTAAAAAAATTTTAGCTGTTCAACCTCAAGTCTCACAGCCCAGCACTGCACACTCTGCTCCTCTGGAACATTTATCAAAAGATCCCTAAATATCTTGAGAACCAGCCTGTTTCCAGAATCACTGGGGACCTTTCCTGCCCGCTTGGCAGCTGTGTGCTGGCGTACATCTGTTTGAGTGGCTGGCCCGGCGATACAGAGGAAACTAACAAGACAACTAGACCTATGATCCTGATTTTTCAGTTCTCTACTTTTCCAATTAGTCACGGCTTCCTTCCATTCCTTGTAGAGCACCTTCAGAGCAGCCTTTGAAGCTGAAGGGTCAAATGTGAAAAGCAATGCTAAAAACTCAGGTTCAGTACACGGCAGGGAAGTACAACGCCGATCCATTTTGCTGCACAGCTGCCCAGATCCCAGTGACAGGGGCAGGCGGGTGGACACAAAGGCAACAAGGCTTTTAAAAGAGCAAGCCCGCATGTGAGGTGGAATTTTATTTCTATTTGTCAGAGGTAGAGCTCCTAGAACACTGGTTTAAAGCTGTTGTCTATAGGGCGGTTGCAGCAAAAACCTAAGACACCACCTTATCGTTTTACTCTACCCATCTCATCTCAGCAGTTATCTCAAATTTCACTATTTACATACCTGAAAAAGTCAATTTACCCAAGCATCACTACCCTCCCCAAACTGCAGAGCATTCCACCAGCTACAGCAGAATCTCAGACAATTCCCAGCTCAAAAAAAACCCAAAAAAAAGCAACAAAAACCCAACTTGTTTTCAGCTCGAGGCTCAGAAGAAAAAAATTAAAATATGCACAAGTTTAGCGACAGTTCCAAAGTCTCTGAAAACGGGCTTTCATCACGAAAACACTGACACGGCTTCAACAAGAGCAAACAGGAACGCTGTAATTTCCCAATCTTTCCAACATCTTAAGGAGTATATCTAATCAGATGTCGTCTCTGCCTCACGTTTATCAGTAAAGACCGAAACCCGGGGTTTACTCCGGAGCTTCAACAACAAGGGCACAATGATCTCACGGCAACTGAAGCGATTTCAGCAAGACACTCGCTGCATGACCAAAATAGCCCGCTCCACAAAAGGAGAGGCACGGTTTCACACTTAGCCTCTTTCATGACAGCCAGCGGCTCCGCGGCGCG